ATTTCCTCTCTCAAGACAACACGTCTTCAAGTAGAATGTTGCGGCTTGCCAGGGAATTTTGTGCATTTGACTGGGCCCATTCATCATTTTGTACAAAAATTGCATTTTAATTGAATTTCATGGTTTGTTAAATGACCAACGGAAAAAATATTGACAGCCAAGAATTCTTGTGAAATGCTCAAAAGACCTTAAAGTGAACTCTGAGGTTAACCAATATTTTTGCTAAGTGCTTGGTAAACATTGAACAAAAGCGAAAACATCTACGAACCAATTTAAATAAATAAATAAATATTTTGAAAGCATATATATTCAGAATAGAGTTTCCTTCATGGTAAACATTTGGTAGCTGCTTCTGACACATGCTCTGCAATCAATCCGAAGGCAAATAGATTCCTCAATTTTCCGAATGCAGTTTACCCCCAATAAATAACACATTTTTGACATCTGCAATATGAGGACCGCATTGGCCACTGACAATGCATTTCAATTTGCATGCCCAGGGCAAACATTTCCATTTCGACAGAGGAATTTCAGCCACAATGTATGGCAATCTGAAGGATGGATGGCAGGACTCTTTATGGCGTGTCGTTTCATTTTTGGCAGCCAGGTAAACATTTTGACTAATGCCGCAAACCGCTTGAAAGCCGACTTCAGTAGCTGTACTTCAATGACTTTTTGGCAATCATTAGAAGTTCCAAATATTTTTATTTCTTATTAAAGAAGGTAGAAGAATAAGAAATTAAGCTTTTCGCCCGAAACACCTCCTTCCAACTTACTTACGTTCAAAAATCAAGTAGGAAATTCCTGAAACTAGCTTAGGAATTCAAGTCATTATTATGCAACAAGTATTGTCTAAGAAAATGTTTCGTGGAGGCCTTGTTCATGTGGGAAATGCAAATTTCGAATTACCCCAACGCGAACAAGACTTTAAGGGGAAAAGTGGGGATGTTATCACCGGGTTTTTCCACCCAGCCGCAGTTTCGCCTTGGGCGCATTTTGCACTTTTCAGCCAAAAGGCAAAATGTCCTTTGGGAGGCGGCAGCCGTTGAAAGCTTATAAAGTGCAACAGCAATGCGGCATAGTCTGTGTGTGTATTAAGCCGCTACGTGACTGTCCTGCCAATGGCTTAAATGCAACTGCGAAAAGGGGCGAAAAGCGGCCAAAAGCCAAAAGCCAAAAGCATCGCTAAGCGCTCCTGATGAAGTCGCGTCCGAAATGCAACGTTGCAATTTACCAAATTGAAAACATGCAGCTGAAGGTGCTGACACCGCCAGCTCAGCTGGCGAGCTACAAACTAGCCGCAAAGTTAATTTACCCGCTCCTTGAATGACTTCTCCCTCCCCCTCTTAACCACCCCCTTCCCCTCCGCTCCCCTCCACACAAGTTATCCTCATTTCCATTGCACGCACGTCATGTAATAGGCACTTCCGCTTGCAAAATGGCAACAATGTAGCGGCGGGGCGTTCGACGAGGGCGATTGTGTGAGTTCGTCGCCACTAATTCCGTAATTTCAAACGTGATGGCCCAGTCCACCACCGCAATGGATGCACTGAAAATCTCCAGGGAGCTATTTAAATATAGTAGATTGTCTTTAAGCACATTCCTTAACTCTCCTTCAGACCTTTAGACTAAATATAACTTCATAACCAACAGGACTGCTTATCTACAATCTATGTTGAACTATACCCTTTTTAACTTAAGTAAAGTTGACATACAAGTTACATTATTAGCTTAAATTTTTCCTTGAATGTGAGTTAATACTCCTAAGACTCTTACAATTAATAAATATACATGGTACCCATACCTTGTTTATATTTTCTGTGAGTGCCCTTCCCTGTTTGTCCTCTATTTATGGTCGCCACTGGGTGGTGCAGGTGTCCTGATTTAGGGCGTCGGTGGTTTGTTACCCGCTGGTCGGGCGGGCAGCGGTGACCGCAGGTCCTTTCAGTCATTTGCATGCCCCCGACTTCGGAAAGTGACGTGGGCTCCACCGCAGAGGGTCCTGCAACCTGCAAACTGCATCCTGTAAGCCGGCAGAACCGCGGATCCTGCGCCGCTGACACGTTTGTGGCGCACTTTAATTAAAAATAACTACTACTGCTGCTGCTGCTGGGTGAAAGTATAGTACATACACGACCTGCAAAAGCCAACTTACACATATTTTTTAATTACGGGAAATATGAGTGCAGCTCAGCATGCGATGTCTGTGTGCATTTGGCTGATTTGCCAGTTGCAATTTAAAATAAACACCGGCGAGTTTAATGTGGATTGCATGGCAGCGCAACATTACAAACGGGCTATAATCAAGGGTTTAACTAATTAGTTTGGTGGCCTCATGCGGAATGCAAGGTACTTGCAACAAAACGAAGGCCATAACTGAAGCAGATCATTAGAAATGCATGAGAGCAGTTCTCGTTTCCAATGAATTTGCAAATTACTGTTTTCCAACAGTAAATTTTGTACATTTAAGCTTCAAATTGTAGCCTTGCTATTGGTAAACAATTTTATACTTCAACATAGGAGATCATTAGGACTTGTTTGGTTCAGGATAAAGCTTAACAAATCATTTCATTTTAGCTAGGGACTGTTATTATTAGAATGCCAACTATATGAGGCCCACATGTGGCGTGGGCTCTTCCATTTTGTTAGCGCTGATGCCGGCGATTTCCGCTGGACATTTCCGGACTCGAGTGCGTGACCCGCAGGACATCGCATTTTCCCCCAGCTCCTCCTAATTTTCCGCTGCTCATGAACAGCTCTAATTGCTGCCGTCGAATTAGGAAGAAAACTATCTGCAGAAGGAATCCGGGGAACCGCAGCGGCAGAGCTCCATTTGAAATTATGCAAATGTTGACTTGCTTGATGGACAGGCGGCTGTGGCACGGTGGCATTGTCAATTCCGCCAGGATTTTAGGCAGGGTTTTCGGGGAGGAAAGGGGAAAAGCCTTTAGGGCGCCGCTTTGCGGCAGCTAAACGCTTTGGCAAATGCAGATTTTGCATGGGTATAATTACGTATAATTGTTTGCATTTCGCAGTGAAGTATTTACAATGCGCAGGCAGTTGGCAGCAATTTCAGTTGGCACGCCATGTTGGCCTATGCAAATTTTCTGAATTTATAAATTAATTTCTGGCCGAGCAAAAAGTTTCAGATTTGATTTGTTCGTTATTAAAGTCCTTACAATGCAATTTATAAAACGTTTACTTTAAAATATGCTCTCTTAAAGTTAAAGTCCATAAAGTGCCCTGTAATTCACTTCGAGTTTCTGCCGTCAGTTTATTTTATCATCTTAATTGTGCTCGAGACGAGTGCAAATAAGCTTATAATTTTAGCAGCTCGGGGAGTTGGCAACTTAACGTTCGATTTATGGCATCCGAGCAAGGTCGACCGACTGCCCATAAAAGAGGAGCGAAAAATTTGTTTACCAAAGTGCGCATTAAACTCTTAATCTTTAGTGTTGACATTAAATTTACAGTAGCAACTAAGCCTGGGGGACCAAGAGTTCCGCCCGCAAGAGCCGGCGAGAACAAAGCAATTTCACAGGCCACCCCAGGACATCAGGACATCGGAACGGACATCAGGACGAACAGCAACGTGAAGGCGGGACCTTCTGCAGAGCGGAGTTCAGGAATTTATTACCCAATTTGAAATTGCAAACGAGTGCGTGATAAAGTCCTGGATGCTCTTGTTCGGTTCTTGTGTTTTATTCAAAACACCATTGTTTGCGTCCGAAGAAGAGGAGGACAAACAAGTGCAGGCTGCATGCAAAGTCAACGGTGGTGGTCAAGGTGCCGTGCCAAAGGACAAAGGCTCCTGGCAGGAAGGACTCCCCGGCAGGGTGGGCCAAAAATAAACTCGACCGGCGCATGTTCAGCGCAAAACTGTTGGAACACTTTGATGCTGCTTTGTGATGAACCAGATGAGATTGGCTCGGTTTTGTGGCCCATATTTCGGTGCAAGCTGCATTTTGCAGGTGGAACGTGGCAAGCGCCGAAAGTGTTTACCATGCAAATGTCGAGGGGCCATTTCAATGCAAATGTGCACAAATGGCAACGTTGTTTCATCGCTCCACTCCCCAAAACCCATAACCCCCCTGTTTTCATTTAAAAGAGTTCTACTTTTTTGTTTGCGCCGCACTTTGCTCTCGGAAATGTGAATGCAAGCCGCCTTTTGGAGCCGTGGCTTTTGCATTTGACGTCAGCTGGAATTACCTATGCCCTCCGCTCGGAAGGGGGTCATAAATTTGTGTCCCATTGAAGCATTTAAATTTATTTCCATTCCGCATTCGGGGCGAGATTTTCAAGAGATTTCTCCACTCTGCGCGGGGGATCAGCGAATTTATTACCCGCAAATAAATTCCTTGTGATACATTCACATTTTCGGAATTGAAAAGCCAGGCGAGAAGGACTCTTAGGAGTTGAATAAAAAAGTCTAGATTTGGAAGTCAAATTGCGAGCGTACTGTGAAATTTATGTTTCCGGCATTCTTGTGCGTTCTTTTCTTAGATATAAGTATTTTAAATAATCAGGAAATATTTTCAGGGTATGTAGTTAACATGGGTAACTGAAAAGGCATTGAAATGTAATCCGAAATGTAGTTATATATTAATGTGGGGTTCAGCCTTGAAAGCTTTGAACTTGTAATGAAATCTCTATTGCAAACTCCGTGGGATGCAAACTTAAACTGCCCTGAAAAATCCTTGTAGAAAACCCCTCGCGAAATTTCCAGGAACTCATTAATTTTTAAGCAACTGATAAGGAGATACGTGGGAGGACCTTCCGGTCTTCTCGGCGTTCCGCACTCAAAGTTAATGGCCGGGTTAGGCCACGCCCCGCTCATCTAGAATTTCGAAAGCGATTCCCTTAATGGCAGCCAGCCATTAGCCCCAAGTGGCAATGCGGCAAAGTTGCGTCTAAACTTTCCAATTGTTCCATTTAAGCCGGCTCCTAATCCGCCATCAAATAGTAACTTTCTCCGCTTTCTTTGCTATTCTTTCTTGCAGGCTGCTTCAATCAAAGGGAAAAATCAACTGTTAACCGGCGAGTGGACGCATTTAAAGCCATCAAAAAAGACAAACAGAAAGGGGCAGACGTGCATGAAGTGAAATCTGGCGGCTAACCGGCCGATGAGTCTGGGCCATCATCAATTACCCCATTGCCACTGCCTCGCACCTGGCCATTAAAGTCGGTGAGAGTGTGAAGAGCAACAGGTTGGCCGGGATAATATCAGGACTCCAGGACGTCTCGCCCATAAGTGGGCGAAAGTACGTGACTTAATCAGCGGACGCAGCGGGCAGCAGACTCTGAGCCTGGCTAACGAGGCGACCAAAAGGATCAAAACAAAAAAGGGGGAGCAGGAGAAGAAGGAACAGGAGAAGGAGCAGGAGCGGGAGGTGCTGCCCAGTTGGAACGCAATGATTTCAGGCACGGCACAGTGAGCAGCAGCAACATGACAGATGTGTCATCGCCAGCTGGCGGCGCCGCAGCTCCGGTGGAAATAACCACCAGCGGCACTTCGGAGGCCACCACACCGTCGACGTCCAAGCCGCTGACCAATGGCGCCAACAAGACGAGCACTTCAACGCCAGCTGGAACCGGAACTAGCGCAATCCCCGCCAGCAGCTCCAGTGGCAGCCAGGTCAAGTTGGAGCACCATCCCCGCCAGAGCAACAACAATCGACCTGCGGTCAATCCTGGTGCGGAAACAAAGCTGAGATCTCCGGCCGGCGAAGGTGATGGCGTCTCAAGATTGAGTACACCTGCCGGCAGTTCCCCATCCGCATCGCAGTCCCCCACCCAAGCTAGCATTCAAACCCAGACGAGTCAGCAGGAGAGGCTGGGCAAGACGAGCACTACATCGCAGCAGGACGTCGATGAGGTGGCCAGGTTGTTCGAGGAGAAGCCGGAGGCTTTCGAGAAGTGGCTGACGGAAAGGGCTCCTCCGGAGGCCCTCAGTCGCCTGCAGGAGTTCATCGAGAACCGCAAACCGCACAAGCGACCCTCGGTCACCTCCGATCTCTTTCAGCAATGGATGGCCGCCTCGCCCACCGTGCAGCAGGTAAGTGTTGTACTCTTTTATTCCTATGCTCTCTCATCTGTGTGAGCTGGGTAGATACACACTCGATCTTGAATGTTAAATGTATATGCCAGAAAGGGACGACAATGTTAAACAAACAACTAACGGGAAATTGTTCGTATTACTCCATTGCTTTTATTTTACAGTGGATCTCATACATATATATCATGCAGTGAAGTTAATGTATTTCGTTTTGTATTATTTTGTGAAATTACGACAATAGATTACAATCTTTAAATTAAATCCTTAAAATCCATACAAAACTTGTCTTCACGGCATGACCATTTTAAAATAGCTCAAGAAAATTGGAAACGAACTAAGTTTTTCCGATTCCACCTTAGCCGAAAACTTTGGGGAAAGTTTCCCTAGCACTTGTCGAAGCCCAAATTAGTTTTGCGTGGCCGAGGCAGCGGGGCATCATTATATTATTTCGAACTAGTTGCGGATTTTCCCATCGCCTCGCCTCGCATCCATCCAATCTATTTCCAACTGCCGCTCCTGCCCGCCCGAATTTTCCGCCGAACAAAGGCAGTAAGCGAGTGCAAACGCAGTTGGCAAGTGGCAGTGGCAATTGCAGCGGGTCCCCAGCACTTAGCCATCATCCTTTCACATAGTCAGTGCTTTATTTGCCCACCGACTGCCGCTGTTTGAGCTGGTATTTGTATTTGTGTTTGTATTTGCCCTGCTTTGTTTTGCCCTGCTCTGTTCTGTTGTACTTTTGGCCCGGCTGCCTCGCGCTGGATTTCCGCTTTTATTTAACTTTGTTCGCCTTCTCGCCGAGCGAATTAACTAAATTGATATTTTCACAAATTTCCTTTGGCCCGTGCTTGCTTGCTTGCTTGCCTTGTCTGGCTGCGTGTGAAGTTGGCTAATTGGAAAAACTCACACAGCCGCCGCGATACCGAGTGGCGTTTCCACAGCCATTGCCATTTTCAAGACCTTATGCTCATGTTTAATTCAGGCACTAAAAATCAAATTACTCGATTCCAATCCCCCCCTGCAATCGACAGCCGAAAAGCGTGCTATATATATTTATTGGTTATTTATTGACAACCTCCGCCGGCAGGTTTTAAAATCGGTCTCTCTCACGTTGGCAGCAAGTATTTTTCAATTAACTTTTATTTGATATTTTCTGTAACCCAGCAGCTTCGGGGGAAAAAAACATAAAATAAAATGCGGTGAAATATATGGCCTATAGCAAGGATGGTCGTTTCATAAAATGAATTTCGTGTGTGCGTTTTTATTGGTTTGAATGAAAACATTTAAGTTACTTTGTTCAAGAACTGAATTATTTTTTGCCTGAACTTAAATTATAAAATCAATAATTGACTTTTTGTTGTTCAAAGTAATTTAGTTGATTTACTCAATTACTGGTAATTCATTTATTTGTTTGTCTGTTTACTTGGTTTCTCGTTTTAATGGCCATCAAATTGGTGCTTCAAGTGGAGGACTCGATTCAACTCTTTCGACCCACTCGATTCCCAAGTCAACTGTCATCGAGATTCGCTTGTGCATGCTTTATCAAATGCTTACTTCTCTGAAACATTCAGCAAAATTATGTTAGATCACAACTTGAACCGCTCGTCGACTTCAATTGGTTGAGCAAAAACAGAAAAATATCAAAACAAGAAGTGCGCTTCAGACCCGCATGGAAATCGGCACTTACCTGGGCACTTGTGAATCAAAACTAAAAGTCAGGGGAAAATGCTTTCAGTAAGAGGGTGCACGTGTGTGTGCATGTGTATGTGTGTGTGTGTGTGTAAGCAAGGTAAGGGAAAATGGAGAAAAACTAGGCCAGTGTCCTGGGTAAAACAACAAGCAGTCAACCTTTGAGAACTTTCAGCGATTGTCTGGCTTAGTGAGTGCAATTTTTTCTTGCAGCAGGTGAACAGCACGTGTGCCTCTCTTTTTTTGTTGTTGTTTCTGTTGTCGATATTGTCAATTTATTTAAGTGCATGTTACGCAATGCAAACTGCAATCCCTGTTCAGGGTATTGGCAGTTCTTAGCCCGGTTCCTTATCCGCTTTTGTATCGATATCTGTGTGTATAGCTCTGAAATTTACATGGCATGCAGGACGCTTTTCCCATTAAGAGTCATTTCGTTTTCATGTTTTCACTTTCCCTTAGCGAGACAAAAACAAAAAAAAAAAATAAAAAGAACAATAATAAAACAGCACGAGTGCTCAACATCGTTTGTTGATTTTATTGTTGTTTTAAGGGGAGCACCCAATGCCACTGGCTTAAGTTCAAATTTACTTAACGCTCTGGCTGGCTTGGCTTTGTTTTCATTTCCCTTTATTTGTCTGCATTTTATTTAATGAATTTGCATTGTTCCCGCTCTTAGACAAACAGAAATGTTTTGCTAACTTTCAGTTCAATCCAAACAAGGCGGTGATTATTCTGTGCTTTCTTCTTGGAAGAGTCTTTTTTGACAGCTTTTTAACTTAAGTCGAGATTTAATGGCACTTAATTGCTTATCTACTGCTTCTTTTTATCATAATTAATGAGCGCACGCTATCAAAGCAAATGTTTTTTAAAATAATAAATAATAAGTAAATAAAGTTGAGCTAAATATTAAAGATAATATTAAATCCCAAAAAGTTAGATAACCAAGCAATTCACACTTGAGCAAATATTAACCTTTCTCTTAGCCCAGTTTGATTATACCAACAAAATTAGCTAGCTGCTTAAACATGAAAAAACACAAAAGAAAATGGTTTTCTACAAGTGGTATGCTTATTTTTACACAAATAGTAATTATCGATATTTCTGGCCATGGGCCACTTGGGCATGTTGATACCAAAAAAGGCAGCACCAGTAGTAAATTGCTTTAATTTGTCAGTGAAAATGATAGGGAGTTGGTGGGTTGTGGGCCTGTGGAGTGGGATGGCCTGTTTCCAGCTCCAGGATGAGGACAGTACACGCAATATAACCAGCTCCCAGCTCCCAGTTCCCAGCTCCCAGCTCGGTTAATTGGCCACTCGCACGCACAGGACACAGGATTGGGGGGAATTCAGGGCCAGAGGCCTTTTTCGGTATTCAATTACCACATTGCCGCAGGAGGTGGAGCCAGGGAGCCGCTTAAGGGCACCACTGCCAACTGCCAACTACCAACTGCCAACTGCTGCTAATAGTCACCCTTTGAACCGGACCGAGTTAATTTCCAATGAAATTGGGGGCCGGGTTAAACGGCAAGAAATCGAAAACAGAAATAATGGAACGTGAGTAGAGACAATGGCCGTTATTGCCTTAAATACACTGTTAAATATTTAAAGTGCTTTCCCTCTCGTCCCGCCGAATGCTAATGCCAGCTAATAAAGCTATTTATATGGGAACTAATTAAATAGCGGAATTATTCCGCATCCCCTTGCCAGACAACAAAATTCAATTACTCTACGGACACGTTCCTGCACTGCTCAACAAAATGCTCACAACGTTTTCAGTAAACTATCTAAAAGAATTTCAATTAAACGGGTTAATAACTCATTTAAATAAACATCTATTAATCAATCTTGTTTTTAATTATAGTCGCTATTAGTAAAAATAACTAGGGTGGGTGAACACGCTGTCAACGAAGATTAATTGAAGTAATGGGAAAATTGTTATCTTTAAGTCGTTTGAATTTTCTACATTTTATTTAAAATAAGAGATCAGTTTATTATAGAAGGTGTAGTTTTTAGTTACATAAGAAATACGGAAATATTTATAATATTCAAGTAAAGTTAACTTTCAGTGTGGTCATTTATTCTGCTCAATCTCGATCTAAGCCCTCTATTAACGTTTATGCTGTGTGCCTTCTATTTTCTCCCCCTTTTTTCCCCGCTCCCCCAGAAATCGCCGAGGAGCCTCTCGAACTCCTCCGCATCATCGCTCCCCGAGAGCCGGAGGCATCTGATGGACCTGGACGAGGGCGAGCTGTTCATGGAACTGATTCGCGACGTGGCCAACGAGCTGGACATCGATGTGCTGTGCCACAAGATTCTGGTCAATGTCGGCCTGCTCACCCACGCGGATCGTGGCTCACTTTTTTTGGCCAAAGGCACACCGACCAACAAGTATCTGGTGGCCAAGCTATTCGATGTCACACAAAAGACAGGTGAGTTCCTCCCATCCGCCTCCGCAACTGCAGTGGAAATGCAAGAATTACCATTGGCCATTTTCCCATACACATGTGTGGGTGGCAGAGTGTGTGTTGTGGGCGGAATCCTTGTGGCACGGGTAAATCCCGCTTTAATTAAGGTGAACAATGCACAAACGAACTACTACTACAACTACTACACAATGGCTGAAGAAAGCTGAAATGAATGAAAAATGGGGGAAAAAAGGTAAAGGGATACATAAGCCGAGTCAAGTGTTCAGTGGTTTTCACAAATGCAGGCAGGATAGATTGAAGGACTCTGTCGAAAGCCAGATAGACTGAGAAAACATGCCCCAAAAAGGCAGAGGCAATCAAGGTAAAAGAAAACACGGGAACTATAAGGACATTTTTGCATTTTAATTGCTTGCTTTTGTCACGTGGTAATTGGCAATACATGCTGTATGGAAGATAACATTGCTCCAAGAATTATTTGATTGCAAGCTGTATTTAAAGTTCATCATTAAAGCTTTTGAAAAATGTTTACGGCCTAGTCAAGGGGATCAAACCTTTGGACGAATATAAATTAGCACTCATTAGCGGCCGGGCAAATAATTCATGGCCTGGTCAAAATGGCCGGCTAACGCATTAGCGAAATTAATCTAGAACGGAAGCGGGCATTGAAAGTTTTCGACAGGACCGGAACACCATGGAAACAGAAAAGGTCGCTCCGAATGTAAACTGGCGTCTATTTTTGAGTACGTGCTCCCACAGGTTCCGCCCACAAACAAACAGGCCCATATATTCATACCGAAGTGCGTTACATTCGTAATGAATCTTTGGTGCAGATCCGTGAGTAAAAGCCAGCGCTTCCGCTACATAATTCAGTGGGGAAAATGCGAGAAAGATTAGAGCTTGGAAGCGGAAGGGGGAGGGTGAAATGGGGGTGCCCGCAGATACAGATACATCTACGGTTTCGGATGCGGATACAGATACATGTGAGCCTCTGTGTTGTGGGGCACTGAGATTATGATTGAGGCGGGACCAGCGAGTTGCTCATGCAAATTCACATTTGGCTTTTTGCCCTCGGATTTTCGGGGGCCTTGTCATTATTTATTTATATATTATTCCCCCTCTTTTTTTCCGGCGTTTCTAAGAAGGCCGTGCTTTCGTATCTCTTGCATGGCAGAGTGAATATTTTGCCTATAAATTTAATATTTATTCGGTTGCACGACGGGCTTTATCTTCGTCCTAATACGCTTTGCAACGGCTGAACTAATTTTTAGGCAGTTTCTGAAAAAGGTTGAACGTTTTTAAATTTCAATTGTAGCCACATTACTGCTTTATAAAATTGTAACCTATTAAAAGCCACTTAGAGATCTAAGGAAGAGACAAAGCAAAAGCTTAAATGCTTTACAATTTAAGAATCACCGAGTCCTGTGTTAAGATGTAAATAGCAAGAATGAAGCGAACCTAATTCGAGAATTTTATTCATGATTTTTGGCTCAGCTTTTTCCTTTTGATTGACTCGAGCTTGAATCTCGTTTGATTGCAGCACTCAAGGACGCGGTGACTCGGGCGAGTGCCGAGGAGATAATCATTCCCTTCGGAATCGGAATCGCCGGAATGGTGGCGCAGACAAAGCAGATGATTAACATCAAGGAGGCCTACAAGGATGCGCGATTCAACTGCGAAATCGATCTGAAGACCGGCTACAAGACAAACGCCATCCTCTGCATGCCAATTTGCAATTACGAGGGCGATATCATAGGCGTTGCGCAAATTATTAACAAGACAAATGGTAAGCATTTATAAATCGAAATTATTTATCTATCAAACATAATTTTGCCACTTAGGCTGCATGGAGTTCGACGAGCACGATGTGGAAATCTTTCGGCGGTATCTGACCTTCTGCGGGATCGGCATTCAGAATGCCCAGCTTTTCGAGATGTCCGTTCAGGAATACCGGCGCAACCAAATCCTTCTTAACCTGGCTCGCAGTATCTTTGAGGAGCAGAACAACCTCGAGTGCCTCGTCACCAAAATTATGACGGAGGCCCGAGAACTTCTCAAATGCGAACGGTGCTCGGTATTTTTGGTGGACCTTGATTGTTGCGAAGCGGTAAGAAATATAAACTTAATGAGATATTTGAAATTTCTTTATTTTTTAACACAAAAAGTGAGCCTCACACACTAATCACCAAGTAAACTCATTGGCAGATGATGCCAAATTTAAACGAACCAAAAATGCCATAAGGTACTGAATAATATACATTTCTCTGAATCCTATGTTCGCCTTAGAAATTCCAGACGTGGGTATTCCACCAGTTTCATTGTCATATTGTCAACGAAAACAAGATCCTTAAAGGGAAAGCTCGTCTTTACCATGTAGTTCCTGAGTATCTTGGCTAAAACAAACTTGATAGACAACATGGCATATTTTAATCCTGTGAAAGAGAATGATGCTAAGTCCGTTAACTTAATATTAGAACAAACCAACGAACCTATACAATTTCTCTTGCCCCTCGCAAATCCCACAAAAGCGTGTGAGTGCCTTTTCTGTAGGTTTTCGGGGAGAAAGTTATCGGGATTAAAAATGTCTGCTTCCGGGCCCCAGAATTCCGGGTTTCTATGGGTGTGGAATATATCGGTGCCTATCAGGACACCTTTGGGAATAACAACGCCATTCGGGAGCCGAAGATCCGTTGCTGCTTCTCTCGCCGTTATTGGAATGGCAGGAATCAAGCGTAGAGTCTCTTTTACAGCACGATCCAAGTAAACCAATTTCTGCACATCGGTGTAGGTTATTTGGAAGTCAGCGGAGTTTGGAAAGACTTCAGTTAACTCATCAAAGACTTTAGCCTGGAACTGGGGATGTGCGGCCAGAGTATACAGAGTATGATAAGCTGTAAGGCCTGATGTATCGAAACCAGCTGCGATCATCATACCACATTCGCTTCTTATGTCGTTATATTTTATAACGCCTTTACGGTACAGATCGATTGCTATATTAACCAAGATGTTCGACTCGACACCTGAACTTTCTTCCTTTGAGTTAAGCCGCTTTTCAACAACCTGAACAATACAAGTTAAATATTTAATAATATAATTTAGGTTTTTCTTACACTCACTCACATTGTCCACCATTTTAAAAACTTCTGCAACGTGAGCAGTTTTTTGCTTTTCATGTCCGAATAGATTGACAATTATTTTTTTTTGAGCCAAGGGATTTATAAGATTAAGTGTCGTTAGACTAATCAACCTGAAAAGGGTTACAAGTGTTGGAATAATATGATATTGAAGAACTAATAGTATATTTTTTTACGCATTTAATTTCTCCACCAGAGTATCGTTTTTGAATAGTTCCTCCTCTTTAACATCAGGTCCCAAGGTGGTTTCTACGGACACAGAATATTAGCAAAAATTTTTTTAAATTTGTAATCAGATACTTTACGAGCTGCTATTCTAACTGACCACCTCAGCATATCCCGAATAACACTCTTCTCGCCCTTATCTACATAAGTTTCCAGCAAGGATACCACGCGATTTGCCTCCGCCTCGAAAATGGGCAAGAAAGTGACAAGGAGATCTAGTTTAAATGCTGGGTTTATGTTTTTACGATGCTCATGCCAAAGAGGATCTATTAAATGCTTTAGTTAATATGAGTATAGGTTAATTCAATGCAACAACATAAGTACCTTGCGTGCTCAAAATTCCATTACCCATGCAGTTAGTAATCGCCTTTACCATATGCACACTTTTGTTGTGGCAAGTTGCAAAAACATCCTTGAGAAAATTTGGATCTCGGGTAATCACAATTGGAACTGGACCAATCCAAGTTAAAATTGTGTTGCCGTACTTGTTAAAATACTTTGTTCGAAAGCGGATTTGACCTATTTATTAGCGAGTTTAATTAAATATATTTTATTTAGTTGCGTTTAACATTTACGTTTTTTTTGGATGACATGTTCGTAGGTGGATCCAATAATAGGATATCCAATAGGTCCGGGCAGCTCTAGCATTAACTTATATATCCGACGTCGACTCCATAGGAAATATATCCACAAAACTGCTAGAGCGCAAAGAAACAAATGTAATGTTATCATATGAACAAGTATTTCAGACACCTTAAGACCGAACTCTTTAAGAAATTTTTATACACTGATTTGCCGTGAGCTTGGTTAAGGCTTATATACCTACTACAGATTTGTATTATTCAAATAAGCTACGGACAAGAGGCAATAACTCATGAGCATCAATTATCATTCATTGATTTTCTTATATAAAAATGGGCTGATCGATTTCAGTACAGTCCGTCCGGGTTGTGCGACGAAAACTCGATGGTTTGGTTGGTCCCCAAATTGTGATAAAATTTAATTCGTAATTCAATAGCCGTTAGAAAACTTTATATTCCAAAAATCATGCTAATCTGATAAAAAACAACGATGTTATAATTTTATTTCCATTATTTCTATATAGATTTTTCGATCTCTCCTATGGCAGCTATATGATAGAGTTATCCGATTTTGATCAAATTTAATCCGAAACTCAATAGCAGTTAGAAAACGCCATCTTGAAGAATTCAGTCGATCTAATCAAAAACAACGGCGTGAGATTTTTTTATTTCATTCTCTATGGCAGCTATCCGATATAGTCGGGTCTGAGGTGTCTCCTTCAAGCGGTTTGTCGCTAAAAGCGGAAACGCACTAAGCGGAGGCCCTTTCATATAAGTTTGTATGGAGACCAACCAAACCATCGAGTTTTCGTCGCACAACCCGGACGGACACTATAAGCGGAGTCGTTATAACAGGATTCTACTGTATTTCTAGTTTTTTTTGTGCTTTTTCCGAGTAAAACTGAATGTGTAAATTCGCCAAATGCAATATGTGCAATATTAAGCTCATTCAGTTTTCAGTATTATGAGAAACCCATATTTTTGAATTAAATTTATTACATTTTTAGTTTTAATTAAAAAATTAATTTGATTTGTTTTAAAAACCTATTACGAGGACGGCAACCATAAATAAACAAACAAAAAAAATTTTGTTTTGTTCCTTTTGCTTAGTGCGTCTTCCGGGTATAACGACGAAAAATCGTCGGTCCCTTGAAAGTCGCTATAACCGGATTCTACTGTATATTTAATGTTATGCAATTAATATACAACACGTTAATAATTAAAACTAAACTTGGCACACTTCTTATTCCATACAACTTACGCTGAACTCACTTTCCCTTTCTCGCCACTAGACAGCAGGTCAATATTTATAATCTTCGTTTAAATCGATTCAAGAATTAAAATTAAATTACCGGCAATATAGAGACAACTAAAGCTCGAACATGCAAATAATTTGTTCGATAAAAACGATCGTAAATTGTCGCCTGAATATAACGCACGAATAATAATAAAACTGACACCCTGCGGTCACTTCGTTATATGTATATACATATTTATTTATAGAATAAATCCCGAATTGGTATTCTTGTTCCTGCGGCTGTCAGTTTCATTAAAATGGTTTAAACGCTACCTCGCCTTTGTGTGCTTGTCAACTCACAAGAAATTAAAATGTACAATTTACATTATGTTTCCTTGGGCCTCGATTGTGGGTGTTTCCACGTGGCGGGAATTCAGCAATGGACAAGTGTCAGCCATCGCGAGGAATTCTGACAGCTAGGTCTGGAGGTCCTTGGGGGATTTGGGAAATTATGTCCAAGTCTGGGCAATTTTCATTTGGGCTGAAGTTTCGCTGATTGCCTGTCATTATTTAGCGGCTGCTGAATCGGCTGCCCTTGCTATTTATTTAATTCGTTTGTGTCTTGTTAATTTATGAATAAATTTACTAGCATTTAGAACAGGTTAGCAGACTACGGACAGTTGGTACAGCAATTGAGACAGTTAGTCATTGTAACTACGTATTAAGCTGTTATAATACTACTATAATCCTATGTTAACAATTAGCTGTGATAAACGGCGTTTAAATAATGCTTTAACGGTTGGATTTAAAAAAAAAATCAATCCAAGTGGCTAATAAAGAGAAAACCTTTGAAATCTTTTTAAACTGCAAACATTTAACATTACAAACAGCCATTTAATATATTTACATATGTACACACACTGCATTCAATGATTATAAGCAATTATTTATTAGCACAAACCAGGCTTCTGGGGAAAATCTATTAAGTTTCAGTTTACATATATTCTCCGAAAGGTGAACACGTGCACAATTGTTTTGCATGTTTCACCTCGTCCACCAGGTCGCATGAATAATTCCGAATGATATTCCTCCAGGAATGATATTCCTCCAAGTAAACTCATTGGCAGATGATGCCAAATTTAAACGAACCAAAAATGCCATAAGGTACTGAATAATATACATTTCTCTGAATCCTATGTTCGCCTTAGAAATTCCAGACGTGGGTATTCCACCAGTTTCATTGTCATATTGTCAACGAAAACAAGATCCTTAAAGGGAAAGCTCGTCTTTACCCTGTAGTTCCTGAGTATCTTGGCTAAAACAAACTTGATAGACAGCATGGCATATTTTAATCCTGTGAAAGAGAATGAGGCTAAGTCCGTAAACTTAATATTAGAACAAACCAACCAACCTATACAATTTCTCTTGCCCCTCGCAAATCCCACAAAAGCGTGTGAGTGCCTTTTCTGTAGGTTTTCGGGCAGAAAGTTATCGGGATTAAAAATGTCTGCTTCCGGGCCCCAGAATTCCGGGTTTCTATGGGTGTGGAATATATCGGTGCCTATCAGGACACCTTTGGGAATGACAACGCCATTCGGGAGCCGAAGATCCGTTGCTGCTTCTCTCGCCGTTATTGGAATGGCTGGAATCAAGCGTAGAGTCTCTTTTATAACACGATCCAAGTAAACCAATTTCTGCACATCGGTGTGGGTTATTTGGAAGTCAGCGGAGTTTGGAAAGACTTCAGTTAACTCATCAAAGACTTTAGCCTGGAACTGGGGATGTGCGGCCAGAGTATACAGAGTATGATAAGCTGTAAGGCCTGATGTATCGAAACCAGCTGCGATCATCATACCACATTCGCTTCTTATGTCGTTATATTTTATAACGCCTTTACGGTACAGATCGATTGCTATATTAACCAAGATGTTCGACTCGACACCTGAACTTTCTTCCTTTGAGTTAAGCCGCTTTTCAACAACCTGAACAATACAAGTTAAATATTTAATAATATAATTTAGGTTTTTCTTACACTCACTCACATTGTCCACCATTTTAAAAACTTCTGCAACGTGAGCAGTTTTTTGCTTTTCATGTCCGAATAGATTGACAATTATTTTTTTTTGAGCCAAGGGATTTATAAGATTAAGTGTCGTTAGACTAATCAACCTGAAAAGGGTTACAAGTGTTGGAATAATATGATATTGAAGAACTAATAGTATATTTTTTACGCATTTAATTTTTCCACCAGAGTATCGTTTTTGAATAGTTCCTCCTCTTTAACATCAGGTCCCAAGGTAGTTTCTACGGACACAGAATATTAGCAAAAATTTTTTTAAATTTGTAATCAGATACTTTACGAGCTGCTATTCTAACTGACCACCTCAGCATATCCCGAATAACACTCTTCTCGCCCTTATCTACATAAGTTTCCAGCAAGGACACCAAGCGATTTGCCTCGGTCTCGAAAATGGGCAAGAAAGTGAGAAGGAGATCTAGTTTAAATGATGGGCTTATGTTTTTACGATGCTCATGCCAAGCAGGATCTATTAAATGCTTTAGTTAATATGTGTTTAACGTATGTATACACGTATGAATGCAACAACATAAGTACCTTGCGTGCTCAAAATTCCATTACCCATGCAGTTAGTAATCGCCTTTACCATATGCACACTTTTGTTGTGGCAAGTTGCAAAAACATCCTTGAGAAAATTTGGATCTCGGGTAATCACAATTGGCACTGGACCAATCCAAGTTAAAATTGTGTTGCCGTACTTGTTAAAATACTTTGTTCGAACGCTGATTTTACCTATTTATTTGTGGGTTTAATTAAATATATTTTATTTAGTTGCGTTTAGCATTTACGTTTTTTTTGGATGACATGTTCGTAGGTGGATCCAATAATAGGATATCCAATAGGTCCGGGCAGCTCTAACATTAACTTATAAATCCGACGTCGACTCCATAGGAAATATATCCACAAAACTGCTAGAGAGCAAAGAAACAAATGTAATGTTATCATATGAACAAGTATTTCAGACACTTTAAGACCGAACTCTTTAAGAACTTTTTATACACTGATTTGCCACGATCTTGGCTTAAGGCTTATATACTACAAATTTGGGTTTTTCTAATATGCTACTGACCAAATCTATTATTTAGCCAATAACTCATGAGCATCAATTATCATTTATTGATTTTCTTATACAAAAATGGGCTGATCGATTCCAATATATTTAATGTTGTGCATTTGCTCTACAACTCGTTAATAATTAAAACTAAACTTGGCACACTTTTTTTTCCCTTTCTCGCCACTAGACAGCAGACTAACATTTATAAACTCCGTTTAAATTGATTCAAGAGTTCAAATTAAATTACCGGCAATATCAAGACAACTAAAGCTCGAGCATGCAAATAATTGGTTCGATAAAAACGATCGTAAACTGTCGCCTCAATTTCACGCACGAATAATAATAAAACTGACACCATGCGGTCACTTCGTTATATGTATATACATACATATTTATTTATAGAATATATCCCCAATTGGTATTCTTGTTCCTGCGGCTGTCAGTTTCATTAAAATGGTTTAAACGCTACCTCGCCTGCCATTTTGTTTGTGTGCTTGTCAACCCACAAGAAATTAAAATGTACAATTTACATTATGTTTCCTTGGGCCTCGATTGTGGGTGTTTCCACGTGGCGGGAATTCAGCAATGGACAAGTGTCAGCCATCGCGAGGGTTTCTGACAGCTAGGTCTGGAGGTCCTTGGGGGATTTGGGAAATTATGTCCAAGTCTGGGCAATTTTCATTTGGGCTGAAGTTTCGCTGATTGCCTGTCATTATTTAGCGGCTGCTGAATCGGCTGCCCTTGCTATTTATTAAATTCGTTTGTGTCTTGATAATTTATGAATAAATTTACTAGCAGTTAGAACAGGTTAGCAGACTACAGACAGTTGGTACAGTAATTGAGACAGTTACTCATTGTAACTACGTATTAAGCTGTTATAATACGATAATTCCAATTAACAATAAGCTGTGAAAAATTTTATAATAATAGGGCAATAAACGGCGTTTAAATAAGGCTTTAACGGCTGAATAAAAAAAAAATTATATCCAAGTGGCTGATAAAGAAAAAGCCTTTGAAATCTTTTTAAACTAGAAACATTAAACATTACAAATAGCAATTTAATATATTTACATATGTACACACACTGCATTAAATGATTATAAGCAATTATTTATTAGCACAAACCAGGCTTCTGGGGAAAATCTATTAAGTTTCAGTTTACACATGTATCATATTCTCCGAACGGTGAACACGTGCACAATTGTTTTGCATGTTCCACCTCGTCCACCGGGTCGCATGAATAATTCCGAATGATATTCCTCCAGGAATTACGCATTAAAATTTTAAATGAAATTGCCCGTAAGAGGAGCATAACAGATGTGCTGGCCTCTGGCATATGAAAGACATTTTGCTTGGCTCATTTGATGAACGCATATCATTAAATTACTGCATGCTGCATTAATTTATGGCCGAAGGTTGTAAATATCGAATTGAGCGACCTTTATGTGGGCTAAACAAAAGCCTTTCATTTCACACGGCCATTGTTATTAATGTGATATCTGCTGGACAGAACTATTTACGAAATGTAATGCTTTTGATTGTGATGATTGTTTAATTCGGGAAATTGCCAGGGCCAAATTAGCCATTATCTGCTGCCAACTGATAGTGCAAGTGCATGTAACAGTGTAATGGACAATTTATTAGCCCATAAAGCCAAACTGGCCCAAAGGGGCATGGCGAGTCGAGTTGGGGCGGACGGACTCTGAAAACTTGGCTGACATGCCCGTCATGTGCAACATGTCAGCTTAATTATGCTCGGGAGGGAGTGTGAAAAGGGGTGGCAGTTTGCGGATAACTAGTGCACTGCGAGGAAATGTGTTCAAAAACAAAATAAAAGAAGTTATTAATGCAACTAGAATTAAGTGCGGATTAGAATTTAAAACAAATAACCAGTTGCGGGTTTCATGTGTAGTGTAAAAAAACGTTAGAAGAAAAGATTTTTCACCATTTTTCTTTTAAAAATTAATAAGCGAGTATGAAATAGGTTCAATGTAATGTATACAACATATACATATTTCCAAAACCTTTGTTACTTTTTCAAGTGTGGGGTGGGAGTACAGCAGTGCAATTTATCAACAAGTTGGCGGCTTGGGGAAAACCGTTACGAGCTCCATTAGTGGCAGCCACTTAATGTCCCCTCTGTCCTTCTCCTGCCCTCTTTCCCCCCAGAGCCATTTGGAGAAGATAATTGAGAAGCCCAATCAACCAGCCACCCGCGCCATCAAGTCCGCCGATAGTTTCGAGGAGAAGGTAAGTTGACCGCAGGACTTGATTCGCTTTCATGCCAGTGATTTTGAACTATTTTGGCAACCGGTTCTTCAACTGAATCGACAGAAAATGCGCAATCGTTTCACCGTGCTCTTCGAACTCGGCGGCGAGTACCAGGCAGCCAATGTTTCAAGACCTTCGGTCAGCGAGTTGAGCAGCTCGACGTTGGCCCAAATTGCCCAGTTTGTGGCCACCACCGGGCAAACAGTCAACATCTGCGATGTCCACGAGTGGGTCAGGGATCACAATCAGATTCGTGCCGAGGACGAAATCGATAGCACCCAGGCCATCCTCTGCATGCCCATTATGAATGCCCAGAAGACGGTCATTGGCGTCGCCCAACTTATCAATAAGGTGAGTGTATCTTCACAAGAAATATGCTTTAAAACCTGACAGCCCGGAAGAAGTTAAAAAGAAATTACGAATTATATGTAATCAAATTACTTGAATTGTTTACAGGCCAATGGCGTTCCCTTCACTGAATCGGATGCCTCGATTTTCGAGGCTTTTGCCATCTTCTGCGGCTTGGGCATCCACAACACCCAAATGTACGAGAACGCCTGCAAGTTGATGGCCAAGCAGAAGGTGGCTCTCGAGTGCCTCAGTTACCATGCCACCGCCAGCCAGGATCAGACGGAGAAGCTCACCCAGGATGTCATTGCCGAGGCGGAGTCCTACAACCTGTACAGCTTCACTTTTACTGGTGAGTAAACTAAAACTTGAAGGAGTTTGTTTTTTTAAATTGATGAACTTTTTGCCTAAATTTTAATTTAGACTTTGAACTGGTTGACGACGACACTTGTCGTGCAGTTCTGAGGATGTTTATGCAATGCAACCTGGTCTCGCAGTTCCAGATTCCATATGATGTAAGCTAACTGAGATCATTTTTCTTTCTTACATTTTTTTTTTTTTTTTTGAATTCATATCATGCATATCTCTTCAGTAATTTGAAAATACTGAGTTTATTTATTTTTCGTTTATAAAATATACCTTAAGGTCCTCTGTCGTTGGGTTTTGAGTGTCCGAAAGAATTATCGTCCCGTGAAATACCACAATTGGCGGCATGCTCTAAACGTGGCTCAAACAATGTTTGCCATGCTGAAAACCGGCAAGATGGAGCGGTTCATGACGGATCTGGAAATCCTGGGTCTGCTGGTCGCCTGTTTGTGCCATGACCTGGATCACCGTGGCACCAACAATGCATTCCAAACCAAAACTGAATCCCCGCTGGCCATTTTGTACACAACCAGCACAATGGAGCACCATCACTTCGATCAATGCGTAATGATACTCAACTCGGAGGGAAATAACATATTTCAGGTAGGTTTAGCTATAACTTTAACACTTTATTGTCAACATTGAAAACATGGCTTAGTCTAGCCGCGGAAGTTGCGTTTCCTAGAGTTTCTAGAGTTGGCCCTCAGGTTAAGCTTTCGGTTGCCAGCGGACTTCTTGGATCGCTTAGAGGCGTTCAGACGGCCTCTACGGTTCCTGCCACGGGCACTTTTGGACCTGGTCGAGGAACTGGCGGTTGTTCCTACCCTGATTTTCCTTGTAATCGAGTACTTTAGGTTGCTAAGCGTCACGATTTTCTTGTTAGCGTCCGAAGAAGTTGAAGTAGACGCGGTAGTGGTTGATTCCGTGGTTGTGGACTCGGTTGTACTAGTGGACGATTCCGTGGAAGATGAAGTGGCAGCTCTCACCTGAGCCACATACAACACCATCGAGAGGGCGAAGAGAACGAGGGACAACTTCATGTTGGATGCTTCGATTGGAAACTGATATGCCTTCTGCTGGGAAAGCCACACTTTTATAACAAATCCACGATTGGATGGAGACCTTCAACCAGCCAAAAACTTTGCTTAGCGAAATGTTTTTTAATTGGGTCCACCTTGACTTCGATTAGTGGTGAACTTTTGTTTGAGCACATGCCTAATTCTAAAGTGACGACATGGCTACAGGTGTTTTTCGCATAGCTAACTAAGAATAGATTTGTCAATCTTATCTCGCAGCAAACTTGTTTAACTATAAATGTGTTTGCTTTATTTTTTAGGCCCTGTCTCCTGAGGACTATCGCTCGGTTATGAAAACGGTCGAAAGCGCTATCCTTTCTACAGATCTGGCCATGTATTTCAAGAAACGAAACGCGTTCCTAGAGTTGGTGGAAAATGGAGAGTTTGATTGGCAGGGCGAGGAAAAGAAGGATCGTAAGTCAAAAATAATAAAGAGCTATTATTACAGTAGAATCCGCTTATAGCGACTTTCAAGGGACCGACGAGTTTTCGTCGTTATACCCGGAAGACGCACTAAGCAGAAGGATTTAAGTGTATAAGTCTGTCTGGGGACCAATCAAGCCATCGAGTTTTCGTCGCAATACCCGGACGGACACTATAAGCGGAGTCGTTATAACAGGATTCTACTGTAATTTTATTTCTTTGAAATAAATTATTTGTTATTTATTTTTTAAATCTAAAAAATACTTTATATTTTTAAATGTAACTGTTTTCGTTTCACTTTAGAATTTAAAACAATATATATTTGTTTTGAATTGTTTATTTTTTTTAGTTCTTTGCGGCATGATGATGACTGCCTGCGATGTGAGTGCCATTGCCAAGCCCTGGGAAGTTCAGCACAAAGTAGCGAAACTAGTGGCCGATGAGTTCTTTGACCAGGGAGATCTCGAAAAGCTACAGCTCAACACCCAACCAGTGGCCATGATGGACAGGTAAGTTGTGCAACAAAACCCATTTAAAATCCACTTGAGAATGTTAATTTTAATATTATTTTAGGGAACGCAAGGACGAGCTGCCCAAGATGCAGGTGGGCTTCATCGATGTGATCTGCTTGCCGCTCTATAGAGTGCTCTGCGATACCTTCCCCTGGATCACACCCCTTTACGAGGGCACCCTGGAGAATCGACGCAACTGGCAGGATCTGGCAGAGAAGGTGGAAATGGGCCTGACCTGGATCGATCACGATACGATTGACAAGCCAGTGGAGGAGTTTGCCGCCTGTGGAGACGAGGAGATCAAGGACATCGAGTTCACGGTGACCACTCTCAATTGCAATCAGCAATCGCAGCATGGCAGCGAGGACAGTCACACGCCGGAGCACCAGCGAAGTGGCTCCAGATTGAGCATGAAGAAGACGGGAGCTTTGGGGAAGGCGGTTCGGTCCAAGCTCTCGAAGACCCTCTACAACAGCATGGACGGTTCGAAGCCAAAGACCTCTCTCAAGTTAATGGAATCGCATGTCAGCGAGGACATGGACGACAAGAGTCCCACGAGTCCTTCGCAGCCACAGGCATCCGGCAGCATGGGACGCATGTCCGCCTCGTCATCCACTTCATCGGCCGGAGGACAGATGGTGGACAAGTCCAAGAAACGATCCAAGTTGTGCGCCTTGTTATGACGAAAGCCGTCCAATTAGAATATGGCGACTCCCTCCAGCACGTCGGCCAGTGAGACTGACCAAAAGTGCGGAGGGGGGATGACCGAGTTCTAATTGGATATTTGCGGTTTGAGAAATTCACTAAAACTGGTTGCTCTACCTGTATCTACTAAAGTGTTTCGACTTCTACTACGATTAAATAAGAACACAGTTGTTGTTGATAAAACTATACGTTTCTAAAGAAATTACGACTTGAAAAATTCTCAATGAAAAGATTACAGTTCGTTATAAAGATTTATAATTGAAAAGTTAAAAGTGTAATTTTATCAACAAGGCTCCCCTCAAATTTAATTGAAATGGAAGTCGAAAGAAGGGGTTTATGTATATGTTTGATATATGTTTTAAGTACTCTAACTATCCATATACAAGCGGATGAGCATTAGGCAGAAGCAAATGCAGTTGCAATATTAAGCATAAGTGAATGTCAAAATATGTGATCTATTTAAGGTCCCGAAGGTGCGAAGCCCCCGGGTTGAACCTTTTGTCGGATACTATCCCCTCTATCTCTCTTTCTATCTATCTGTCTATCGCTTTTAGGTGATTGAAAACCGCGAAACTAAACTAACTAAGTAGATCCAACCAACTAGCTAAGCGTGTACGTAGTCACCCTAACCAAATCGTGCTAGTCAACGTATGAAATACTATATGAAATACTATATGAAACACCCTAGGTAAGAACTTGTGAGGCTATATTCCAGGCATCGGGCATCAGGAGTCGGATGGGGGGATCACCACTAGTCCTCGCCTGTGATCGGCTAGAAATCTACTTTATAGCTAACTAATATTCGGACGCACAGCGTGTGCATCCACGTAGCAAACTATAGCAATATTATATGATATTTCCCACGCGATTGTGAGCACAGCACAAATATTGAGAAATCGAACCCCTATTAAACAGATGGTAGCGATTGAAGTTAGTAGAACAATACCGTTTCGTACTCTGTTCGATTGTATAAATATAAATATTAGCTTAAAGATAGACGACAGCAGTCAATTTTTGAACTCGAACTCAAACAAAATACGAATATGATAAATATTTGGCATAAATAGCACTCGGTTAATACGAATAATCCGGCCCCACAATCTCCTAGTTGTTGCAATGAAGTTTACTTTATCTGTGTGTACGTGTACAAAGCAAACTATATACTATAGAGCATAAATATAAAATAAATATATATAAACGAAAACTATATGAAATATTTACATGTGACTAATGTAACTATAACTGAATTGCTTAGAATTAATGTGTTTAAGAGCATCTCATTAATTTGTTTCAATTGGTCTGCGTGTGCTAATCAAATTTGGCTATCAAATGTCAACAAAAATAAAATTTTGAAACTATTTTTCTAGTTACTCTGCCGCTCGCTTGAAAATCAAAATCCAGACAACTTTATAAACCGATTTGAATATTTATCTGGGTTTAGTTGTGACAATTAATTGTGTATATTTCTAGAAAGTTTCGTTGCTTGTTTTTGTTCCCAAACGATTTAAGAATTATTCACGTTTGTTTACCTAACTATGTAAGACTTGCAATTGAATCAAAAATAAATCACACCATTGAGAATTACTCTAAAGATTGTGTTCAATTTTATTAATTTAATTTATGAAAGGTATATATCTGGAGGTGTTTTTTAAATGTACTTTATATTTGAATTTGGCGGCTATCCAAATTCAGTGTTGAGTAACGCAGCCGTGTGCGTGGCACATATCGTTATCGAGTTGTGAATCAGCTGTTTTACACCAAAACAAACTAACAACACGTGAAACATTTTAAGAATAAATAAATACTTTTAGAAGTAATTTAAGGCCAAAATGTCTTCCCCCAGTGAACCTTCTTCGGCCTCTGAGCAGGAGGCATCCAGTGACGATGAAACTCAAGTAAAAATACGAAAATTGAAGAAAATTTTTTGGTAGTTAACGTTAACTCCTTTTTCAGAATGCCATTCGTCAGGATCTCAAGGGAATGTCTTTCGGGGAGATAATGAAACTCAAGGAGGAACTCGGCGCCAAGGTCTACAAAGAGGCTGTTCTTGGGGGCAAAAGTTCAAGACCACAAAAGCCCAAAGCTAAATCAGACCTCAAGCGCCTAAACAAAAATAGACCCCGTGAAATGAGCACCAGAAGACAGGTCCCATTTTTGGGGGCAGAACTCAGAGTGGAGCGAAAGAAAGCTGTGGAACTTCGTGACCCAAGATTCGATGAGAAATCGGGAACGTACAATGCCGAAACTTTTAAAAAGAACTACCAATTTGTCTCCCAAATTCGTGCAAAGGAAGTTGGTCAGTTGAAAAAACAATTAGACGTAGTGGAAAACGATGAGGAAAAGCACCAAATTAAGGACACTATGCAGCGACTTATCAACAAGAACGTGGAGGACAAGAAATGGCACACTAAGCAAAAGCAACTTAGAAAAGAGCGCGCTGGCATTCAGAAGAAACATAACGAAGGAGTGCAACCTCATTATCTTACAAAGAGTGAGTTTTGATATATTATTTAAACAATTATTCGCTAACATAATTTATACTCGTTTCAGAGGAGCGTCGTGCCAAGGAACTGGTGGCCCAATTTGAAAAGCTGAAAAGCACCGGGAAACTGAACAAACATCTCGAAAAGCGACGCAAGAAGAACGCCGCCAAGGATCGCAAACGCATTGGCATAGAATAAGACTTTCAATTTAAGAATAAATGTATTTTTAACAATTAAGCACACTGAGCTAATCAGGTAACCTAGCCCGTACGCAACATCTTGGCCTCCCGCTTCTCCTGCAGCTCACGTCTTTGCTGTTCAACAATGGTTTTGCGTTCCTCCAAAAACTCGCCGTATTCCGCAGGATCAATTTCCTTTACCACCTTGATGCCACATGTCCGGGCAATGCTGATAAGCATCTCACACATTTGCTACAAAGAAAATTACTTAGATTTTCGGGAAAATGTAAAAAATCTATGCGGGTTACCTTCATAGTAAGTAGTGCATTCGGTGGATCCTGAATCTTAATCGCCGCAATTTCGTACAAATGCTTAAGGGTGATCTTGCCGGCGACTTCCTTGCCGGGAGTCATGGTTCCTCTTTGAATTCCCGCTGCCTGCTTCAGGAAGAAAGTGGCCGGCGGATGATGGATTACCAAATCGTAACTGCGATCACTATTCACAGAAATTCTGCAGGGCAACGGCACGCCCTCTTTCATTTCCGCAGTCTTGGCATTAAAGTCCTTGCAGAAGGCGGCAATGTTGATAGCTCTCTGAATAATATAAAATATGGCATTGAAATTATGTATTGCTGGTAAGACCGGCAAACTCACCTGTCCCAACATTGGCCCCAACGGAGGTCCCGCCGCAGCCATTCCGGCGGGTATATTAGTCTTCAGTTTACTCGTGTGCGTCACACGTTCCACTGTTTTTTTAAGCGACTTCAGCTTTCCCGCTGCCTTAGACATTTTAATTGATTTATTTTAACTAAACAATTGATTCCAACTGTTATGCAAAGCGAAATGTGTTGGTAGAAGAAAGAAGAAGAATCAGAAACAGCTGATAGAAACAAGCACTTAATAGCTATTTAAAGCTAGATTTCTGATATGCTTTTTTAACGTATTATGGAGAGATAACAATCAAAACTGTACCATTTACGTTGAGGTTACAAAATAATAACTTGGTAGGCTTCTGATTACAGATTCCCCTTTCAATAATAGCTAAATGTTAGAAAGCCAAATTTACGTGAAAAAAGCCAAGCTGTTTGGCCCTAAATGCGAAGAAGAAACATCGCGGCTAACAGCTGCTTGCACTGCCTGTCGCTTATCGATAGTCGTGGGTTACGCAGCAGGCAGCTTTTGTGGCAGTGTGCCAAATTGAAATCAGCTGCCAGCTGAGAAGTGAGAAATTAAATAACAATAACAAACGAGGATTATTAACAGAAATCAATGGCTTTGCGCGGTTCTCACCGCCTGGAAGTGTTCCTGAGGCGCTGCACGAGTTCCCCCTCTTTCATTAGCCATGGCCCTAACCGTATGAGCAGTCAATTATCTACTAAAGGTGATCATCCAAATAGCAGTGGTAACAGTGGGCATCATCAGCACAATGGTGGGCAAAATGAAAGTGGCTGGCGGAGATTGGTGAGATTCTTTGTTCCATTTTCCTTGGGTGCAGCGGTCAGTGCTGTGGCCTTCAAGCGAGATGATCTGACGCCCTCGATCGCCGCCTCCAAGATGACTGGTCGTCGGAGAGACTTTAATTTTATTGCTGATGTGGTGGCCGGATGTGCGGATTCCGTAGTCTATATCGAAATCAAGGACACCCGGCACTTTGATTACTTCAGCGGTCAACCAATCACGGCTTCCAACGGTTCCGGTTTCATCATAGAACAAAATGGTCTCATTTTGACCAATGCCCATGTGGTGATCAACAAGCCGCACACGATGGTTCAAGTTAGGCTCTCCGACGGCAGAACCTTTCCCGCCACCATCGAGGACGTGGATCAGACGTCCGATCTGGCCACACTGCGCATTCAGGTGAGATCTCGCATATAAACCTTATATTTGGTCACTCAAACACGGTAACTAATGCCCAAAATATTCTTTTAAATTCTACAGGTCAACAATCTCTCGGTTATGCGACTTGGCAAGAGTAGTACCTTGCGATCCGGTGAGTGGGTGGTGGCGTTGGGCAGCCCGCTGGCCCTAAGCAATACGGTTACTGCAGGCGTAATAAGTTCCACGCAACGTGCTTCCCAAGAACTTGGTCTTCGAAACAGGGACATCAACTACCTACAAACGGATGCGGCTATTACGTTTGGAAACTCCGGTGGACCCCTGGTCAATCTGGATGGGGAAGCGATTGGAGTTAATTCCATGAAAGTGACGGCGGGTATTAGCTTTGCCATTCCCATCGACTATGTGAAGGTGTTCCTAGAACGGGCTGCCGAGCGGCGCAGAAAGGGATCGACCTACAAGACCGGATATCCTGTGAAAAGGTACATGGGTATCACCATGTTGACTCTCACACCGGACATCCTATTCGAGCTTAAATCACGCAGCCAGAACATGCCCAGCAATCTCACGCACGGCGTACTCGTGTGGAAGGTCATCGTTGGATCACCAGCGCACAGGTTGGTTAATGAAATACTAAACAAAATATAAAGGAGATGATGTGAATTTCTAGTTTATTTGCAAACTATTTTAACTCCTATTGTTTAAATCTTTTTCAGTGGTGGCCTGCAACCCGGCGACATAGTGACCCACATAAACAAGAAAGAGATCAAGAACTCCTCTGATGTGTACGATGCTTTAGCGGACAATAGTAAAAACCTAGACATAGTGATACTGCGGGGCGTTAAGCAGATGCATGTGAGCATAACGCCAGAGGATCCCTAATTAAACCTATCCCTTGCACCTGTTAGCCTCGATCATTTACGATATTGTGTTCGCAAGATTTGCAATATATATTTATGTGTAAAAACGAAAACGAAAAACTACCGATCCTGGAAAGAAATCTCTGACAATCCCACCACACACGCGCTCCTATTCCAAATCGAGCGCCTGCCTATATTTGTCCCTGGCTAACGAGTAGGGAAATTTGCATAGATCGCTGGCTCGTTATCAGTGGCCATTATTAACTGCGACACGACCATAAGTTAATCTACGCATCGTACGGCACAGAAATGTATCTCCGACTGGGTCGATTGGGTCGTCTGTCCGTTTCCGAACATCATCGATTTCTCTTTCATGGAGCGCTGTGCGTGTCTCCATCCTCCCGACGTCCCGTCCGTCCGTCCGATTGTCCCCGTCCAACAACGACAAAAATGTATTTACGCTAATTGAAATATCTTGCGTTGCGATCAATCGATGCCATATTTTTTATAGGCCAAACCTCGGCCGTGCAGCAACTGCAGCGGTTCGGCCAGCAGCAACATCAGCCGCGAAAACGTCGAAAACCGAAATGCAAATTTCAATAAATTTATGCAACTGTATTCCCAGCGCTTCACTTGGCCCCAGTTGTTTATACCCTCGATTGGAGTACTTAAAATATGTCTGAGTGCATTGTTCCTTTTAAAAACGTTTAATTTTTACATAAAAATTACTTAACATTTAACGCACAAAACACAAAAAAGATAAGAGCCTACAAATGTGAGAAAGCTAAATAGTTTATATTCTAGAAATGAGTTTTAGTTTTGAAAATGTTTTGCTTTGAAGGAAAGTATGGATTGTTTTTTAACAAATGTGATTTAATATTTTATTTTAAAATGCACAAAATAAATGTTTGTGATGAAATCAACATTAAAGAGTATCCTATATTCAATTTGAGGACTCAACTTCACTTTTGTTTCGGTTTGTTTGTGGGTGACAAGGCAGACGAAGCCGATGATGTTGTTGCTGCTGCCGTGCTGTCGTTGCGTGAAAAGTGAAATTCTTGTGATTATTAATTTTGTTTTCGCTTTTGGCGATGCTACGCTTTTTTAGTTTTTGCATATAAATTCATATATTGATTCCGCCGGACTGGCCGGCCATTGTTGTTGCCTCTTGCCGTTGCTGTCGTTGTTTATGTGACAGCGGCCTTTATGACATTGTTGGCACTAAGTTACCTTTATTGCTTATAAGCCGCACGCATAAATGCAGCTTAAAGTTCATAAATTTGCCAATATTCACTCGGCAAGGGGTTAAGCAAACGGACCTCTCTTTTGCGATCGTGTAAACACTTTTTACTTCATTCGCTGGCGCCCCACGCTTTTTGCACTTTCTTTCTGCCATTTCAACCGCTCGGCGAGCATTCGTTTCGTTTCGTTTCGATTTCGGTTTGCAATCCGCGCCTGCACTCTGCGCCAGGCTAATTGAAATATTTAAAATGCATAAAAGTATCGCATTTAAACTTTGCAATTAGTTTGTGGTGATCGCCGCAGTTTGATGTCGTCGTGGGTACGGATATGTTGTAGTTGTTTGTTGCTTGTTGTGGGCCGCTTAAATTACAAACCTGTGAGAAATTTAGCCGCTGTTTTGGTTGCTTTGTGACTGAGTTGAGCCATACTCTAGGGGAAAGATGGGCAAAACGACTACTGAGCGATGGTGGGGGAAAAAGCCGAAGAAAGTGAATTAGGATGGTCACGAACCTCGAGGTTTTTATACTCTTCATGTTGTACAGAAAATCTGGGTGCTTAATTAGTCTGAATTTATTTAATTACCAAAGCAAGAGGACCGTGAAAACAGGTTTTAAATGCTTTTTTTTTTTAGAAGAGCAACAGAATTGAAAAACTTGTACTCCTTGTATTTATCTTTCTATTAATGATGTTACAAAACCAATTATTTGAAGCTGTAAAATAAATTGTATTTATCCAAAAGAGCATTGCTGCTCCTATTGAAATATTTTTTGCGATTTGCGGACATTATTGTGAATTAAGATCACAAAGTTGTTTTTGCGGTGAGCAGCATTTTGTGGCTGTGATCATGTTCACACGCTGCGGCCGTAAAGCTGAAAACCTAAAGGCGGTAAGTGTCGTGATTTGGCCGTGCTTACACTTTCATAAAAGGCGGCAATTAATAATGGACGTGGCCAAAGGCCCACCGACTACATCAATCGAATGAGAGTTTGACGAGGGTCATTTGGGAATTTTTTTTTGCGATTTCGATTGAGTTGTTAAACGTGCGCCTAATTGCAGCCCATGACACTTTGGGTCAAAAGTCTGCAAATTGTCGCATTAACCCAGAAATGTCAGGCCGAAGATTTTGCACATGTAATGGCCCCGTCTTTCTTACATTTTCCTCCATTTGGTCTTTATTTCTTTTTGGGTGACCCCATCAGACACCTAAATCAACGACTTTCTCGTGCGCTGTTCCCATGAACTGCTCACATTTAAACATATTGGCAGGCTGCATTGGAAAAGTGCATAAAGCAACGCCAGACGCCAAACACCGAACGCCAAACACCTACAACAACCGGCAACTTTTGTAATAGCAACAACATTAAAGTTCATGACACACAACAGTAAAATGTTTCAGCCCGAAATAACAAAAAAAAAAAAAAACTTTTACCGCCGATAATAAATGGCTGCGACTTTGCGCCCCCAAAAGTTCAAGACATCATCGCCGTCGTCCCGCATGTGAAAAGTTCTCCTCTAAAGACGGACAGTTTGGACGTTTGGACGTTTGTGGAAAACTCGGAGCCATGGACAGGAAGTCGAAGGCTGGCATAGATGAAAACGAAGCCAAGAGCAAGAGATCGGGCCCGATGGCCAATGCCACGGGCCATAAATCACTTGAGTATGCCAAAAGTTACATAATAATTCTGCGCTGATCATCGCTGCGATAACTGACAGAGGAGCTCTGTTCGTCTCAGCGGCATTAATCAAGAAATCGAGGTGGATAGCGAGGGGGGGGGGGAAATTAAGCCATCGTCATCAATCCGTTGTCCAAATTGAAATGTGTTTTAATGTGCCATTTTATTCGGCGTGCCAAATGGTCTCCCCCACACTTTTTTCTCTCCTTTTGTTTTGGGGGCTGGCCCCCGGTTCGATTGCATTAAATCAACAGATTCATAAAAATGAAAAACACGAAAAATTATGATGATTACGCGGAAATGTGTGGAAACTGTGCTTTTTGTGGCCACTGGGCTAAAATACTTTATGAAATTGCACAAGTGTGTTGGCCATTTGCTGAATTATGGCGCCCAGGTTTTTCTCCTGCTTTGTTGCTTTGTTTTTCCTTTTTTTTTTTTGTATTTTTGGGTCGCCGCAGGGCGCTGGTGCATTGCAGTTTTCATTAAACGCTTGGGAAACTGTCCAACTGGGAGTCGGTGAGCCCGGCTTCAGTGGGTCAGTTTACACATCTGGCTTTTGGCTTGGTTTTGTAGTGTTGGTCAAATATTTGCGCCAGCGCAAAGAGTCATCATCATTAATAACGATGGAAATTTCACCTGCTGGAAAAGCGTTTTGCGCAGTGCTGCCGCGCGATGTTTATGTTTTCTTTATTTAGGCAAATCCATCAATTACGCCCGAGTGTGGCCCACTGGGGAAGTCATTTGTTTGCTCGGAAAACGCTGTCGAGCGTGACGAAAACAAGCTTCTAATCTGGCCCAGCCGAACTGGCAACTTTTCGATTCGATCTGTCCCCCGAATTGATTGATTTGTCAGCGAACGGCCACTGACAATCCCACAAATCCACAAGATTTATGTCCAGCTTTAATGGCCAAATGTTATCTGACCATTTTCAGACAAATTATGCATAGCCTCTGAGACTCAATGTAACATCGAAATGATGTCATCGCCACGATCAGTTGCTAAGTAATGTACTATAAATAAAAATCAATTTCAGGTGGCAATTTAATACAAAGTTGTAAAGTATAAAAATGAAATACCATGTGCTAGTGTTTTGAAATTAATTAAAACCCAATCAATCATCGTAAAGATCACTATTTCTTTCTGTGTGGCAAAGGCGGCCACAGAGATTACAGAGTAGAAATCGGGCCACCTGAATCATTTAATTGTTGCGATTTTTCACAAAATTGAAACATCTTCCGGCATGGAGAGCCAAGACAAACGATGTGTGCACCGAAATTAGTTTTTCGCATGTTGCCTGCCCCGAGGCGTGAAAAGATTTTCGCATGCAAGGTGCGGCGGTATCTGCAACAAAAACAGCAACAACAACAACAAAAACAAAAACGGGAACAACAACACCTGGAATAACAACAGCAACAAACACAACAACAGACACTGGCAGCGCGGCAAGTGTTGCTCTAATTTATAAAATGTTTTTTTTTTTTTTTTGCTACCAACTCTGAGGCTGCTGAAAAGCGCCAAAAAATCAGTGAGAGGGATCGAAGAAGGGTTACCTTACAATTTTCGGAAAAAAGCCTTAATTCTATGTTATATTTTATAAAAAAATTGTTTGTGACCAAATTCATTTTTATAATCCAAAATATTAATTGCCATTATAATTTGTATTTGTTGATTTAAACTGATTGATAAGATAAAGAAACCAAGGAACATCATTAATATTTTATGTTGGCACTGAACTGTATAAAAAAGAGTTATGGGATATATTTACAATTAATTAATAAATTTAATTGTCCAATTAACCCTGTTTAAAGTCGAGGGTATTTGCCACAAATTAATTGCCTTGCGGTTCTCACACACTCACACTCGTCTTAGGCATGGCAGAAATTTCACTTCTATAGAAATTCCGCAGCTCAGCGATTCAAGAGCCTGGGGCTTTTCTTTCACACTTTTTCCCACTGCCGCCGCTGCTGTTGCTGTTGCTGCTGCTGCTGTCACTTGCTTTAGTTGCTGATGTTGCCCGTGTTGCTGCTGTTTCGCTGATGTTGCTGCTGTGCCGCGGATGTTGCTGCCGCTGCCTGTGCCGCTGGTGTTGTTGTTGGTGGTGCTGCCTTTGTTTACTACGCATGACACGCCACACTCACCCACCCGTCATAAGTGCCGTCACATGTTTTAATTAAATAGCGGCTCAGCGAGGCCTTAAAAACTTTATA